TTTAATTATTTCAAGGGCTTTCTTAATAAATATGAAAAACCGAGAAAAATGGGAAAATGCTCAGAATCATTGTTCGTTAACAAAGATTAATCGTTACGTACAGATATACATGAAATTCTCCTCAATATTTTACCTTTTGATTTTCTCACCTACAACAGTGTCCACTCCAGCGTTCCGTGTATGTAAGCAACTTTCCTAAAATTATGCTTTCATAAATATCTGTACAGGTTTTTTTTCTTGTAGTATATCTGATCTTATTATTGCATTAAGGAGGTCATTATTGATTTTTTTTTTCTATTTTATTTTAAAAATGGAAAACCTGTTAAATTTTTGCGTTATTTTTGTTAATTTTTCAGTTATTTTGGCAATAACGGAAAAAATACAACAAATAATATTCTGTTCAAAATCGTTTTTCATTAAAACCAGGTAGTTTATCGTTTTGCACAGATATAAATTAAATCACTCTATATAACAACTCTCCCGAAGCTTCCCTCCTAATACAATCACACACCAACCAACAGTATCAGATTTTTTTTTGGTTTTATGTTACTAACCTAAAAATATCTTTGTTCAAACAAAAAACAATTAGTGTACCTACAAGCCTCTTCCTATAATTATTTGTTTAGAATTGTTAATTACATATATTAATAATTTGTTATTGACGATTTTTAGCAGTGATTATATTGTAATAAAACTCAAGCAAAGCCCTTAGCTGGAAATACTAACTTTAGATATCCAAAACGAAACGTTAAGTCAAAAATCATTATTGATCATTTTCAAAACAAACTGAATTAGGTCAAATTCACTACGAAAGTATAACTTTACTATTCCCGCTTCGTTCTAACTTTATAATTATAGTCGGTGGCCGGCTTTGATTCTCCTCTTTTTTTTTCCGACAACACCGTGTACACACTAGGGAATCAATCGATTTTTTCACTCAATACTCGAACGGTTTAAAAAAAATATATATATATTATTTATGTATTAAAATTTCGGTTTAATTCGCACGTCGACGTCGTCGTCGTCGTTTTTGTAAACTGACGTGATTACACGTTTATGTTGTTCGTTTGATGAAAAACGTAAAACGGATTATCTACGTGGTCTTTATACGACGATGACATCGTCTCGATCTATATTATAATAATATTATAAACGATCGAAGGAAATCCATATTTATAATATCTCATCATTATCGTTATCATCACTATCATTATCACCATCATCATCATCATTATCATCACCTTGATTATTGTTATTTTGCACGCGTTTCATTTACTTCCCTCGTTGACTCGCCTACGGTACGATAAACATCAACACATAATCGCGTTTTGTTTCGCTCTCTGGTCCTTTTAGTAATAAAAATCCGAATTACACCAATCCAGTTTTATTCATTTTTCGAAACAGACGGCGTGTGGAGTATGCAATTTTGCGTCACCAATGACATTAAGAAAATGTCGAGAATCAAAAACAATTCCAAACCTTTTTTTTTTTTTAAATGACAAAAATATCTTTTTGAAATTGTATCATAATAATTATTTCCTGTCACAACATAACATAATCTTCAAAAACCATAATGAAAGAAAAATCTTCTACAACCATATACCCCCCCAAAAAGTTTGTATGTCCCAGGAATCATAAAAAAATTGTCAAATACGAAAAACTTATTAAAAAAAAAAAACACCGGTAACAAAAAAACGAAAAATATTATGAATAATGTTCAAAAACAGATGAGCTCAGTAGAAGACACAGAAAGCAACGGTGTCAATTCTACTGCTTTTCGATGCCACGTTGGCACAGAATTCAAATATTTCTGGAACTTTTTAAACAAATCTCTTATTATTATATTATTATATATTATAATATAATCTCGTTGTTTTATTAACAACGTATAGAATGCGAAACGTGCGATGGAAGTTTTTCATGCTGTAATTATATTTATTGGAAAACTCTAAAACTTCTACTCGTATATACATATGAAAATCCTAAATTTCTAATTAAAATATAAGTATTTTATTATTCGAAGAACGGCGACGGCTCTTACTCGTTTAAATTAATTATTATAACTACCATAATTATGACCCAATTAACGTCTGTTCGAAACGGTTTTGCTTATAGTTTTACGATATGCAAAGTACTCTCGAGTTTGTTAAACATTCAACGGCATTATTTTTTATAATCATTTGTCAGAAATTAAAACAACAATATAATTATATCACAGAGGATAACGGAACAATTGTTGCCATTGTGGCAGTATTATTTATATTACGTGTTTGCCCATTTATATTGATCGGTCAATAAAACAGCTATAATGTATCATGTATATACTTCGTGATCGTTTTATTTAAGATATATTTAAATTCTGTTTTTCTAAACATTAATAAAAATGATAAATAATGATGATTCAACTGGTTCTTTTTGTTTTTATATCTGAGTTATTTTGGGAAAAATTGAAAATATAACTGACAGTTATCTACACATGATTTGTTTTTCCTCTCTCACACTATATTAATGTAATAGCAAATGCATTATGCACTTTAATGATTACGACTATTTGGTTGAGTTTAGGGCAAAGAGACTTATGATACTTATTTTAAAAATGAGTATTGTATAAAAAGTATTGTCCAATGTTATTTATTTTATTTTTTAGTATAAATTGCATTAGTATATTGTATTTTAAATATTTTGTATTTAGTGTACTAGTTTATGAACAATTGTAAATATTAAAAAATTAATTTGTTTACATTTACAACTTTACAAGTTGACTTAAGCTAAAGATTGAAGCAAAAGTTAAGTTATTTTATTTTATTTAGCTAACATCCAAAGGATTCCTGTAACACGTTACCTATATATATGACAAAACGGATAGATTTTACATTAGTAAAATGGGTTATTTTAACAATTTTTTTCTTTGACCAAAAACGGCTAGTCAGGAAAAAATAATTTGAAAAAATTTTAATTTTTTTTTTTTAATTGTAATATAAATCATAACACCAATTTATTCTTGATTTCATATCGTTTTTAAATTGGTCGGTAACAACATAAGGTTGCTGTTGTACAGTATGTTTTGTCGGTATATCGGCCGAGGACCGATCGTAATATATCGAAAATATCGAACATAATGATTAAGTTTCATGTGTATACTCATCAGTTTGTTTTGGTTTTGAACATCCGGTTGGTGTTTAGACTAAGAGTTTTCAAACCGTAAAAACTACTTAACAACGTTCTCGTCATTAACGGTAAAAATGGAAATCTGACAATACCATGCCCAAGGTCCACTAAAAAGACAAATAATTTTTAAAATTTTCAATGTTTTTGAAAGGATTATTATTAGTTGATTCTATTAAAAGTGCTATATTTCTAGTTGCCTACTAAAAAAATAAAAAGGTTATTTTAAATATTATGATCTAAATTTAAAATTTGCCTATATATTATATAAAAATTGAATTGAAAAAGCTACTGATGGTTTTACCACTGTTTTACGGAAGAAGTTGTAAGGGAAGCAACGTTAGCAATCATTGCTAACGAAACACAGTTCTGAGTAGAGTATATCTTATACTAAGGAAACCCAAATATTTAATAAAAATTATACGAAAAACTACCATTTTTCCCGGTTATTTTAAGAAAACTATATGGAAAATCAAAAAATTACCTCTTTTATGCCAACTAGATCAAAAATTTTACAAGAAATTGCCTATAATGTTTTAGATAGGAACAAGATTTTTATTAAAAAGGTTCTTTACTGATACATAAAAAAACATACATTATAGTAAAACCATAATGATTTTAAGTTTTGTTTCACTTAGAATCTAAATAACGTAGTATATATTTATATATTTCAAAAATACGAAATTTTGTTAAATAATCTCGAGTGATGTTGAACAATTATTTATATGTAGGCATATATATTAATTTACACTTTAAACATATTTATTAAAATATGTTTTACTTTATCTTAGCGATCGTGTTGAATATTCCGTCAGATAGCTGCCCTGAATTTTCATCGTCACTCGTTTCAAACATACTTGTAACGGCCCCGTGGTGACCAGTAACCAAAATATTAACGTAGACAGTGTTAAACCTTATTTTGATAATAATTGATTAGTTATGCGTCACGCCGTTATATCAATATTAGAACATTTATCAATAAAACTATTGAAATAATAATGTTTAATTTTACACTATACTTTTATACCAACCTAAAAGAAGGTACGTCGAATAATGGTAACCAACTTCTAGTATGAGAAACTTCGTTGTCGATGGAATCAGCAGCATGCCGGTAAAGCTTCCCAAACGCATACACAAGTGTGCCGTTTCGCGTTGAATAACAAAGAGCGTAGATATTAACACGACAAACGCCGTTTTAACCATGCCGATTCCGATAACTATTTTCCAAAAAAAAAAAAAAAGCACCCCGAATTGTTATTAGCTTAGCTCTGATATTCTATAATTTAAATATTAGTCCATACACAAATGATTTTATTATAATTATTTCTTACACAATTATCAGGACACCGTAACTACTACCACCACAACTGTCACTTTACACAATTCTAAGGTAGCAGCCAGTGTTAACGTAGAACCCTCTATAGTTTGGCCCACTGTCCGTAGTCATATATTGCACGTTATACATTATAGTATTTTTTGTAAATAAAATAACATTTGAACTAAATGAACCGTCATCGATGAATATTGAAGTTATACAATTTTAAACGTGCGTAGTTACTAAATTTTTATTATATGTTTCTCGACTTACCTCCGACGATGGCCAAAATGAAATGGAAACGATCGAAATGTAACTCGGCGTTACTGATAAAGGACGTCAACAACGTAATCCAAGCAACGGACAGAACACCGCCGAAAAACAAACAATATCGAAAACCGTGTCGGTTGATATACGCGCACGAAAACGGTTCTGTCAACAATAAATTTGTATACAATATTATTGTTGGTATAAACTGTATTTATTAACCGCTATAAAATAACCCACCGATTAAATAACGTCAGAGCCAGACGACGGACAAGTGTTCCAAGGCAGATAAAGACGACGACAATAATTGTTCGGCCATAACGACGTTGCTGTCGTACAAAAATAACGACAAGCACACTCCGTCCAAAATCATCGTGGCCGCAAAGCCAAGAACGCAGGTGAAAACCAAACAAAAACTTCCGTCGGGCGGACACATCGCGTCGTGACCGTCAGCCACACGTGAGTTTCCGGCTTCCGGCGCGTCTCCAACATACGGCAATAACACGGTCAACGTGTCTATAGCAATCACGGTCGACTCTTTCGGTGAGACCACGGTCGTTTCCTCAATCGAGATCACGGCCGATTCTTCCATTGACAACATTAATCATTAGAAGTTAATTAGATTAAATTGTCTTACTTATTCACTCACTCAGCAGTTCGAAAGTCCTCATTAATGCAAAACCATAAAAGTAACAGATTCGTTATGTATTCGTAAATATAGCCACGTTTCCATGATATTATATATTATACCTATATGAAGTATTTTTTTTTCAAATAAAGGAACGAAGAACGAGAAAGAGTTCATATTTATGTGAAAAGTGAACGCAAATTTCCGTTCCTTCTAATAGGAAAAAAAACGTACGTTTTTTTAGTGATAATATTGTTTAGAAATTGTTTTGTGTTATTATTACTTCATTAGTTACTAATTTAGTTACATATAACCGTGATATAAACGGTATTTCAGTGATAATGGTTTAAAATGGTAACAATCAATATAACTTATTTAATAATGACAAACATCAAATTTACAAATGATAATTGGTACCATTGGTTGTCAGTGTAATAATTTTTTTTGGATAATTAATAAAATATTATATTTTAAATTTTGAATAAATTAATGGTCAATTTTTTTTTCAAGTAATATGTTTTTATCATTTTTCATTTTTTGAGTAGGAACTAAGAAATTAATTTTATTTAATTTATTAGGATTTTAAACATATAAATTCTAAGAAGTAAAAATATTTTCCAATTTTAGTTATCCTACCTCCCAACTTCCCACCCACGACAATAGCTACACCCGCCCACGGTATCTTTTTTTTATGAATATGTAATATACGTATTCATAGTTATAATAAAAAAAAAGTAACTCTTAAAGGAACGAATTACTTTTATGATTAAAGAAACAAGGTACGAGAACTAGTTACTTTTTTTTAGCAGGACGAGAAACGGGAACGAATTCCTTTTTAAAAATAATTTTCCCAACACTGTCCTATGTTACGGGTAAGATTATAAATAATATGAATTCTTTAAGACCTATGGTAGAATCTTTAAATGTCTCCATTCAAATGACTATCATGGATCTGGTTGATTAACATAAAATAACTCTAATAACAAAATAAACACAAATAGAATTTTCATTTTCGAACAATGATATTCTTTATTCCACTTTTTTGTATGTATACTAATTAATAAATTAGCTATAGGTATTTAATATGATTTTTTCTACTAAAACTAATTTATGTATTCCTTTATTTTTATCCGTTTTTTTTTTTTTTACAATAGCATGAGACTCCAGCCGCGACGCACGGTTTTTGATTTGTTTCCTCTTTTTATGATATTATAATGTATTAAATCATAAATGTAATATTTTTTATCAAATGCAAATCTAGCACGCATTAAAAATACATTTTATTGTCTCCTATTACACGGAAAAAATAAATCATGCAGTACAAACGATACGCCGAAAACCATAAAACAATGTAGGGTGTTTTACTTTATTATGAACCAGTAGTTTTCTCAGATTTTAGGTCAATTTGATACCTGATTATCTTGCAATACTTTTTGCGATCATTAAGAAATAGTTTAAACTTTATTTTAAATTGTTTACCCCTATTATACTTTAAATGAATATAAACTGTTATATTCTACTGATATTTCAATAAGAACCTTCCTTTTTTTTTTTTAAACGTAGATTCGAATAGAGAATATTTTTTTAAAAATGTTCATGCGCATAACACTAATTGGATTTACTTTTTATGATATGTAACAATTAAGTATTTGACCCTCAGAAAAGGGAAAAATGAATGAATTATTTTCAGAAAGTAGATGATAAAAAGTTTATTACCCTTCCCTATACTCCTTCTATCAAAATTTTAAACTTATAATTAGTAAACAGTAAATCTGATATTAGTTAGTGATATGCATATCAATATTTTACGTCGTTGTAGTGTAAAAAGTGTTTAAATGATTTTAAAATATAATTTTTAAAACTTAAAATTTTGATTTTATTATTACCTCACTTGATAGAGCACGAGATTCTTAATCTTTGGTTCGTAGGTTCAAGTCCAACGTCGGATGCTACTTTGGAATAAATAAAATAAGTGAAAGCAAGAGAAGAATGAAATTATTAAATATTTGACCCCGTTGATCACTTAGATTACTTATACGAGAGTAAGAAAAATGCAAAGTATAATATCTGATAGGGTTTTTATCTATTCTGCGCGAAATACTTTCCCAGTAGCAACCCTGACGTTGAACACGAGTATATTAAATTTTTTTAATGGTAATCTAAGTAAAGAAAGTAATAGAGTTAACACTAAGAATCATTAAACAATAATGTTAGTTTTAAAAACAATTGAATGTGTACAACATCGTATATATCATTAAAATTTGAATCAAGAATTATGTGTTAAGTATTTCTTGAACTATTTTCGATATCACTTGGGCATTTTTCACGTACGTATATAAGGATGAAATAAGGCACATATTTTTCAGCTTGGTCACTTTTTGCTATTGGAATCCGTGTTTAAAATGGGAGGGGGATTGAGTTCCTTGAAAATCAAAAGTGTATACTCGTTTAAGGCATATAAAGGGAGTATAGCGGTAACAAATTGAAAATATAGTGTTTAAATACACAATTTCTGCACAACGAAGGTAAAAAAAAAACCATCCGCAAAATTCACAGATTTCGTGATAAAATGTATATGGATCATTAGATCACGCAGTATAAATCGAAATCTCGCACACCCATAGCGTAACAGTAAAATAACCAACAGCGATATTATTTATACGTGTATACTCAAGCCCGAAAGGGCAACCTTGTGGATTGTTTTTTTTTTCTTCTCTCGTAGAAATATCACACTTACAAATTACTCGCACTTAATGCACTGTAAATAATATTATTATTACGAGATAAATGTATTAAAGTCGGGATCATAATTTAACAACGACTGAGTAAACTGCAGAATTTCAATGTAATTTATTATAAATTTAAGACGTGCAAAACACCTATTTGTTATAAATAATAATATACTGCAGTATCAATGACGATTAATCGCGGATCGAATTCTGTAGACCGTCGGAACGACAGAGACGACGCGGAATAAACGTTATCACGGCACAAATTAATAGCAGTCGTTCGTTAGATTAATATTTTTACTCTACGTGAATAATCGTGGTATCATTTGCCTTGTTCTGATTTACCGACAATCGATTCTATCTGCAATAACAATATCCCCCCTCCAATATAATTATTATTTTTTATTCGGATAAAATTGGTCCAAATTTTGAACGACTAATTTACAATACTTATTCTCCGGCAGAACCGTTTGACAAAACGCTCGTATTTTTGGTAAAATATTGTTTATAAATTCAGAAATCAGAATAAATAGAGCTAAAAAAGAAAATATGCACTTAAAAAAAAATCAAAATAAGTGCTTTAAATAGCCCTAAAAATTGTAAACTATGCAATATAAAATTGTCCAATAATAACGTAATATGATGCGACTCGCACAATTTTAAATACAACTAAACTATTAGAAACGAACGGCATTGTCCGATAAGATCAACGAAAGCATTTGAATATCACTGTCTTTTTCGGATACAAATCCTTTAATCGGTTCTAGCAAAACATCTATAAATTCTAAATAATATGTACGAAAATAGCAACAAAAAGCTCCGCATATTCCCATAAATAGCACTTCAAATTCTAAATTAACAAGTCTTGAATATGAAAAAATACCGATAAAATTAATAAAACAAATTAGTTTTAAATTCTGAATCATTAACCACCCTCCCCTTAAAATAAGTTTTCATATATGGTAGAAATTTTTACAAACGTATTTTAAACAGCTCGGTGCATATTACACATCTTGTTCGTGTTTTGGATTGAGTTTGGCACAAATCGACTACACTGTACCTAAAATTATATCTAATTATATTGATTGTTGAAATTCAAAATGTTTACCTATTTAAATATTAGTAGGTAACAAATAAATTAAATTGCAAATCAATTAGCAAATCTGTGATAACCATGATAAGATGATGAAAGATAAATGTTTTTTTATAAAAATCGTGATGCTTATAAATTTCGTTAAATTTTAAACTGCTTTTAAATTCCGACGTAACGGACTGAAATGGTTTTTTTTAAACAATTGAAACTCTACAACATTCTTAGAAGAAATATCTCGTAGATACAGACTGCAAAAATATATGATAGCATGATCCATTCATGTAAGCTTAATATTTCGTCAAGTTTTGACTTTAAAAAAAAAAAACAAAATTTAAAAATCGATAATTTTTTATTCACCTTAATTTCGGGTGCGAAGGATTACCTTCTTCTGATTAACAAATTATTAATTTATAATTTATCTTTTTAAAATCAAAACTAGATAAATACTAGTCGTTACAAATAATAGAAAAAAAAACATTTTTTTTTGAAAAAAGTCAATACTTACTGTAAAATCGAGTGTGTAGCCGCTCAAGGTTGATTTTGTGCATTTTCGAATTTGGAATCGGTGATAAAGACGCGTTACCGGAAAAATATTAGGTATTTGTTTATAGGTTTTACGTCGTACCAAATCTAAAAAAAAAAAATGTTCGGGTTATACGCAAAAAAACCTTCTTAAGATAAAAGTTACGATAAAAAAAATCGTCCAACTTGTTGGTTTTTCCGCATAACTATATCAACTAATTTATTTATTTATTATTAAAAAAAAAAAAACTAACAAATATTCTTTTATATTTACGCTGAGAAGGCCGTAAAACGATAAAAAAAAAAATGCAAGTGAAAGATTACGGCGGGGGCGCATCCGTTATTGTTAATATATTCGAAGTTTTTTCGTGTACGTTTCTTTTTTGATTTTTATACCTCACCCGGTCGTTTTCATAACGTTTAACGTGACGGTGCTTTAATCGTGTGTACTGCTCCGCACCGGAAAACTATTTTTAACGATCGTTTGGAAAGCAATTATAATAAAACGCGAAATTAACGTGCGCACGTAATTAAATTGGATACATGCGGGTTCATTAGTCACGTTTTACTATTATGGCTAATAATAATTCATAAATATACAAAAGAAATTTGATTATAAC